CAGCAGATTTGGTAACAGTGAAATAACCAAGCTCTTCGTAAAACTTTCACACAATTATTGTGTAGACTGATCCTAAGTTTGCTTATGAAACTGAAATAAACCACACTGGTCTTTTGCCCAGCTTTCAAGAAACTTAATTCTGCTTTCCTTACCTATCAAAATGTTATTAGTAAGGTAAGTAGCTCCTATTTGGAATGGCAAAGCCAGGGAAAGTACACCAAGCTGACATTCCTATGTCTTGAAACAGCAAATCAATTAGTAAAATACAAGTTATAACTTAGATTATTTCAGTGTTCTGCACTACATCCTGTGCAATTCAGAGTCTGGTAGGTTCAGAATAATTGTTGAAGAGCAGGAGTTCTTGAAAAATGGAAATTCAGGCTAATAATAAAATAACCCTCAAACAGCAGTATCCCCAACTGAAAAATAACACATAGGGTGGTAAACCCCAAATTTAGGCCTGTGAAATGTACACTGACAGGGCCCTTTTATAAAGGCACACAAACAGAAACCCAGACAGAAGCACGTTTACACACAAGTGTTAGCATTTGACAAATATAATCAAGAAACATGGCATTTTTTAAATGAAAATGATGGGTATTTTATGTATTTGGCACAGTGTAGTGTGGTATTAATACGGGGTAGGATTACAGAGGAAAGTAGGATGGTTTTGTACCTTGAAGAATGCTCAGTGTCAAATCAGACAAGTTAACTGTATCCACTGCCAGTACAGAATTCTTACAGAGACAATTTTCAGGCTTAAATTAGGAAGAACACAGCTTCTAAATTATACTGCTGGAGAGGAGAGCAACTGTGACTGCAGTGTGCTGCAGGAGATCAGAGCATCTACAAAGGCAGGAAATAACTAGTGGAATACTTGAGTCATCCTTTATAGAAGGGGTAAGTGAGATGACTGCTTCAGGGAGTACCAAAACATGAGGAATACCTACATGAGGAAATATCTCTTTATTTGGTTGAAAGGAGTGTACAAAAACTTCTTGAAAAAATTAAATCTTGTTTTGTAGCAGTTTCAGCGTCACAGACTGTGACAAACTTGAAAAGACCAACTGTAGAAAACAGTCAAGCTTATGAAAATATAATAGGTGGTCAGAAGGGTCACATAGTTGCAAGCAGTCTGCAGATTATTTACGAAGGTTCAGAAGTGTGCAGTTACTCTGCTGTGAGAGAGACTACAAGCTGCTTCCACGTTATGAAGTTAAATGGGAGCAACAGATGACTAATCAGTTATTCAGTTAAAATTAGGTAAGTGATGTTGGAAAGTTTTGTGTGTTGATGTTGACAGTTGAGGAACTAGAGATTCTCATGCCCAGAGTCCTTTGAAAAAGAGACGTGTTGCAGTAGCTGTCTCAATGCAAGGTGTCAGTGAAAAGGTTTCAGAGCAGTGACAGTGACAATTGTCCTCAGGTAGATGGCATGCCAGACGGCAGCTCTGGAAGAGCAAGCAACAGTTAACTGTAAAGTAGAACCTGATGTGGAGTCTGGGTAAATGTGGCACTGCTGCTGCTCTGCTGTTGGGAAGGGTGAAAACCAAAAACCTTCTAGAAACCTCTACAGCAAGATCTTGTGATTGAAGGAAACCAGGTAGTTAAAGTGGAAATTAGAGTAAGGGAAAGAATCAAACCTGCACTCATCAATGCAGTGTTAACTATTCTCATTTAAAGCTGTCTCATTTAAGATGAGAACTATGAGGACTTGCTCAGTAGTGTTAAAAGTAGTCTTGAAAGGGTAAATAAATGCTAGGCATGTCTAGGGAACAGCAGAGAATAAAAAAATGCTACTCCTTCAATCTATTTTGTGGCCACATTTTGTCCCTGATGCCACAGAGGAGTTAGATGAATCCCTGTTGTTGGATCTGCTAGAACTCTGCAGCCAGAAAAAGGAATGAGGAGAAAATGCCAAATATAATAAAAGGAGTGGGGGGGCACAGAAAAGGTAATGAAGATAACTCCTGGGAAGGTAACCAGCACAGACCTCCAAGTAATCCTGGGGCAAGTTCAGTACATCTAAAAAGCATTGCTATTGCTATAGGGAGTTTAACTTTGCAATCTGTCACAGAATGTTGCACTTGACAGAATTTTGCACAGACCTTAAAAGATCCCAGAGAGAAAAATCCAAATGGGAACATTTGGCACAAAAGATTCTGTCTCTAACTCAGGAGTTCCCTGGGAAAAACACATTTTGGAGGCTGGTGGAGCATTGCTGTATCTTGCACACGTCTCTGCTCTTGCCTATTGCAGCCCTAGTGGTCTGTAATCTGAACTGGTTTGCCTGTAGTTCTCTGTACAGGCTTTGAGGAAGTATTTTTGACTTTAAAAAACCTAAAATGCTTGGTAACTGCCAGTAAAGATAACTTGCTTGTCCTGTACGTGCAAGGAAAAAGAGTTTACTTGATTATTCTCTGAAAGGTCTGTAGGTTCAGGAATTTCCTTTTCTTATATTCTTATAAAAATATATATATACTTAGATATACTTCTGTTTTACTTTGTGCTCCAGTACAAAATATTTGTCTTTTAGCACAATGAGAGGGGAAATTAGACACAGAGCAATTCAGAAGCATGTTAGTTTTTGCTTGGCATTTTATTAAAAAAGATAATGCCTTTACTTTTGATATTAGAACGTCAAACACCTTAAAAACACCTTAAGAGAACTTGTTATTCTAAATTCATGGGGGGGGGGAAGGGTTTAATTTATCCAAACATCCAGGAATTTATTATTAGAAGCACCAGGTTCTAATGGTGATTTCATGCTTCATAGCACAAGAGTTTGTTCTGTTCAAATCAGTGAACATGGATCACTTTCTGTAGGTGGGAATTTCTCCAGAGGGGTTGGTCAGTGCTGGAACATCTGATGAGATCAGCACCCATAGCTCTGGGTGTCACTCACTGCCCAATGGCTGAGCTGTTCAACCTAACTTTAGGTCTTAAAACTCTGGCTAGCAAATTGCAAAGTTTGAAGAGCTCATCCTGAGCAGTGTGGCTGTCAGGCTGTGGCTTTGTCAGCTGTCCAGTGCAAGCCTTCAGTGAGCAGAGGCAAAGCCCTCGGCCTCAGGGGCGGGGGAGGCCTCGGTGCTCCAGCTGCTCCACTTGTGCAGTGAGCAGGGACTGGAAACAGGCAAACAGAGCCCAATGGGAAATGAAAACCATGGGAAGAACCCAGTAAAACAGAGTAAGTGGATGTTCTTATTTTACAGCAGATCCAGAAGTCAGAGCTACTTCTACTCTGTTCTGCCCATATTGATGTTAGGATGCTACTTCATATGTTGCAATTTTTAATTTTGTAGGCTGGAGCCTCTATCTGATATTTGGTGTTTTCTCAATGCAGCGTGTTGCTCCTTTTCGATGCAGCACACCTGGCAATGCAATATTGCAGTATCACCAGTATTGACCAGGCCAATCTAATCTGTCTGTAGCAGATTTTCTCCCCACCAACTTAACTTCTGTTCTGCACTATCTATTTTTAACTGTTAGTATAAATTTGCCAGCCAGCTTATGTTCTAGATAAATACTAAGGGAGGAAAAGCTGAAACTATTGCAAATAAAGTAACAGCTGAAATTCTGAAATCCGGGAAAACTGCCAGAGAGGTCAATTACATAGACAGAGAAAAGTTGTTAAAATAATTTCTATTTCACAACCCAATATTAAAAAAAAGGAGAAAAAATATTTTAAAAACCCATTGTATCACATTTTGATCTGTGCCATATCTGACAAGTTTTCAAAGTGCAGTTATCCTTGTTGCATGGAGGAATGTGCCACACGTGTGCACAGTGTAGTGTGTGCACCCCTCTCTCTCTTTGTCTGCTCCAGTTGTCATTTCAGGATTATTGACCTGGACTGTTAGCACTGAAAACACTTTGTAACATTTTTGATGTCATCCACTCAGTTGATACTGATCATCCAGAATGATTTTAGGTATCAGTAGGCACCAAATGATCACTAAATATTAGCAAGGCCTCTGTAATGATTCAGTGTGTAAGACATTTGTGGTTCCTCCTGACTCGAGGAGTGAGTAGAGGTCCAGGCTATGGGATCAGCAGTCAACACTGGCACCATGGGTACCAAACAGGCAGGGACTTAACTGGAGGGGGCAGTGGACTGAAAAGTCAAGGTCCTACTTGCACAACTGTTCATCTAAAGGCTAATGAAATTGGCTCTCTCCAAAGAGGCAGCAAAAGTATGAACTACAAAACACATGAACCTGGCAGAGAGAGCCCAGAGAAAATGAAAACCATCCTGGAGATCTGTATTGCAGAATCCCAGACAAGCTCTGCAGCCTCCCGCTGCAAACTTGTGCTGAAGAAAGGAAATGGTATCAAGACAAGGAGGCTTAACAAAGCCATGCATGCTGCTTTCCCAGTGTCTAGTTGCTAATGGCTCTTAAGGCTAAGCAAAAGGGAGTATGAAATTTTTGTAGATATATTTTTAGGACAGAGTAACCCCTGCAGCCCATAGTCAAAATAGAAGAGGTGGGAAAAGTAGTTTTTAAAAGTAAAGAAATTTTCTTTTGTTTGTAAAGCATCAGCAGTAGAATCTGAGCTTGTCCTTTCTCAGAATTGTTGAAATCTGTTCCTCTCCCAATTTGTCACCTGAAGAACTTGAGTTTTGCTAGACAATATTGTAGAACACCTGTATTTATGCACATTAATTAAGTTTTCAGTTTTAATCACAGACTGCTAAACATCATGCATTCAAATACTGACCTCTGGATTTCTCTTTTAGTCTTTAATACAAAAAGGAAAATGTTGTATGATCTTGCCTTCAGCCTTGTACATTTTTATACAGGATTTTATCTCTTACTGACTACATGATTTACATTTTAAACTGCTTTAATTTATACCATTCCCCACCAGAAAGACAAGTCCTGATAATACTGGTATTATATGAATATTATATGTGCCATGAAAGCTTAGAGACTGATCTGAGCTGCTGCCTTCTGCAAGTTCTCCTTTCTTTGAAAGCTTTATTTTTACCCCCATCTGTACCTCATCTAAACAATGGAGAGTCTTCTGGAGTCTGCAGGCTCCCCCCAGTCCATTTGTTGGGTACAGAGTTCCAGATAGCTGAAATGGACATTCCTGGAAAGTACAAAATAGGAAGATGTGTTAGTTGGGAGGCCGAGGTCTGGGAAAAAATACCTTGGTCAGACACAGCAGAAAAAGCATTTTTGGCCTTTTCTTGAGGCCTGCAAGGTGTTCTGGCAGAACACTGACTTACATATTTATTTTGAAAAAAGCACACTTGAATACTGGTTGGTTTTATAAATTAGCAATTCTTACAAAGTCACTGGGACAAGCAAGGTTCCTCCACTAGAATTCCCCATCAGAATGAAGACATGGTCCTGCATTTGCCTAAGAAATGGTAGATATTTCTAATGGAAATCCATGTAAACCAAATCTGTACTCACCACATGCTAAACATATTGTAAAAAAAAAACCACTGAGCTACAAAACAGCCTCTTATAAACAAATCAGTGATTATTTAGAACAAAGCAACACAAACTAATCTGTAGCTTTAATATTCTACGTAATGACTTCTGCAGAAATTTGGCAAATAAAACCCCATGTGACCAGCTATTGTCCTCAGTGTAATGTGTTCTAAGGAGAATGCAGTGCCAATGGCTACGTGCTGTGCAGTTAAACTCCTCTGCTTGTGGGAACTACCAAACATTGCAGGACAGACCAGTTTGTGCTGATGGTGCTAGTACAGATACAGATCAGCCATCAAAAGGGAAGTAACTAGTAATTTCAAAATACTGAACTTCAAAATGTTATTTATAATGTTTTTATTGTAGCACTCATGAAAGTTTTAGCAGTACTGAACAGCTGGGACACTGGATTTGCACAAAGCTACTGTTCAGTAGATAAGAGCTGTTGGAGCTCCTTAGACCAAGCTAATGAATGCCCTGGCAGAAGCTGGTGTAGCACAGCTCTTATGAATAATCACCTATAATTTGTTTAAAAAATAAAAAGTTGTGGGTTTTTTTAGCAGTTGTTTACTTATGTATTGTGTTGGCCTAATAAAAATACTTGGGAAAGTGCCCTACCTGCAGTCACACAATTTCCAGTGTCGCTGTGCAGTTAAGTTCATTGAATGACAGGTTTTTCTGAAGCTAGATAAATTGCAAATCTTGTAATGCTTGAGGGAATTGGCTTTTCCATGGTGTGTGTGACCTGCTAGAACCCTTGGCTTCAATGCCATGTGTTTAACAAGCTGTCCTTGCACTGATGGACTGGTGGATAACCAACACGTCTTCCATTACACACAGGGCTGTGCAGGAGGTGGTTTTAATGCTTTCCTGAGTGACTTTGAAGAATATAGACACAACCTCTTTTCAGAGCTGAATTTTCTACGTTACATGGACTTCAGCATATTCACAATATGAATACATTTTCTTTCAGACCCACTTATGGGTGGATCCTACTGCCACGAAGGGCAATGCTCAGGCTGTTTAATTGCTATAAACACAATTTACCACCTGTAGATTGGTTTTGTTACGCTTCTACCAGACAGGAATAGTTGGTAGGAAAGTAAATCTTGCTATGGAAAATTAAGGAAGCATTAAGAAAGGTGGTGAAGAGCATCAACACTGTTCTGTAACATTACCCAATGGAGAACAAAGTAGCAAAAGCCTGGGTTCCAAATCTGTTAAGATGTTCAACAGGAGCAGCTTATTAGCAGAACAAAACATTCTAAAAATAAAAATGGTCCTTAGTCAACAAAAGGATCCATTAAATACCTGTTTATGGAAGGTCCAAGCAAACTCATGCAATTATTATATTCAAAGTCTTGCTGAGAAAGAGATGATATAACCTACTGCCCACTCAGTAATGGGAATCAACAGTACTCACTGCCTCTAACAATGAAATAATAATTTAGATTGTGGTTATGGTGCAATATTTTTCTAAAATTTGTCATTATTATTTAATGTGATATTTTTCATGTCCACGTAGAATGTTATTCATTTTTCTTTGGTAACATTACCAAGGTCCATTTTTGTAAAATAGACATTTCTATCGCTGCTTTTACAGTTAGCCTTTAAGATGATAATTTTTATCATCTTCCAACCTCAATTGTCCTGCATAGGATAATTACATAGGATTTAGAGTAGGACTTCAAGATTATAATTTCTTAATAATCTAGGTTAACTTTGTCACATTCATTAAGGTGTCCCTCAGTTTTAAATAGTACAAGTTGATTAAACTTTGCTGAAGTTGACACACATGGATACACAAACTGGCCTGTATATTAGTCCATCCTGAATCTTCAGAAATTGACTGATATCATTTGGTTACTGTGGTTTCAGAAATACAAGTATTCAGAAAACTGGCCCAGTTAATAGGTATGTAGTGTTTAAAAAGAATATTCTCTTAACCTGTATCCAAGTTCTTAGGAAGTTCTGTAAGTAGCCTGAAAGAGCCAGGAGTTGCTGGAGTTATTTGTTGTGCCTGTCACACTCTTGAACAGAAGTTCTGTGGGGAAATCTCAATAAACCTGACCTGTGCTGTGCCTTTCAGTTACCTGTGTGTCATGAATGCTCATGTGGTTATTTTATTCAAGGGGCTTAGGGAGTCTCCAGCATGGATTATGGCAGGATGTTTTTCCCCCTTGCTTAACTGTTGCTGAAGCCAGGCTCCTCATTCATCTTGTGTTGCGTAACAGCATCAAGGCTTAGCTCTGAAAGTATTTATCTTTAAAAGGGTTATGCTGATGAGTTCTGCCTTTTGGAAAGCATAAAATCTGTCAATTTTTAATATGTCTTCTTTTCTTTATAGTGAATGAGATCATAGGAAGAGATATGTCACAGATCTCAGTGTCACATGGAACAACAGTGACCAGCCAGCCTGCACGTGCGTGTCCTGGATCTCTGGAGACGAGAATATCTGATGGAATCCAGTAATGGATAAGCTAACAACTCAACATCCATGAAAACATCACAGTTTCTCTGAATATTTCTTCATCCTCTTCCTCTTTAGACTTACTGTGCTTCCAACTCTGTGGCCTTTATGAACTGGAACAGTGGATCCTTGCAAAGCCCTTTTAGTGGGTTACATTTTTGATGTAGAGACAGAGCATTTTAATTATAGTTCCTCAGATGCTGTAAAGAGACTTCTTAAAATGGACACACAGAATCTACACCAGATATTTTAACTGTTTTAAAGTTACAAATAAGCTTTGCTTTTTGCATTTAAATAGAATACTTTTATATTTTAAGTGCTTCAGATGTGTGGAGGTGTTAGTTTGCTCTTATAATATTCACAGTCCTGAACGTGGAAGATTTAATGCACATCTTCGGTGTGCTGCTTGCCCTTAGAGGTAGTATAGTTTGTAACTGATGATTTGTAACACCTTTTGGTCATTTTGGAAAGCCTTTAAAGCTTCTGTTGTTTAATTTTTTTCTTAATGAGATCTTCCAGTGGCAAATCATACCTGTCATCTGAAGCCAATGCCACGGAAGCCATTGTGTATATGAATACTGTAGTGTTTTCTTTCTTAGATTCATAGGAAGCAAAGCCAAATGTAGATCTGCACTTGTTTATAAACTGAAGATGTTACTTGATAGGCTGCAGAAAGACCATTCCATCATGAAAGTGTTGGGATAGAAATTACATTCCAAAATTTAACTTTTATAACTTTGTGGATAATCTTCCTGATCTTTATTAGCACAGGCTCCTTCTTGAAATAGCTTTTTTCTTAGCAAGTTACATTTGTAATCAAATTTGAGCAGTAGGATTTTTAGATTAAAGAACAGCAACATCAAAGCCATGTTAGATACAGGAGAAAAAATAATGTTTGCTGAGGATCTAAATATTCCCATTATCCCTGCAGAATATGGTTCTGAAATCACCAATTCAGTGGCATTCAAGTTTTCAATGCAATAAATCATTTGGTCACATCTGTATCTTTTATATGCTGTATGCCTGACCATGCCCCTTGGAACTCCTAAGGAGATGGCAGTTACAGTTCCTTAAATTCAGGCTGTATGTAAATGTCAGTTTGCTAAAAAGTAACTTACTGTGAATTAGTGGTTAGGCAGTATGATGTGTCCATGCTTGATTTCAGAGGTGTGAAGCAGGAGCTACCAAAGAAATACACAAGATTCATCACAGCAGCAGTAAACTCCGTGCTGTGCTCTGAGGATGCATCTCCCTTATCCCCATAATCTGATGAATTTGAAACAATCTGTTTACATCATTACTTAAAAATCTCTGGCCTTTCCAGTCTGACTGTGGAGAGGATCTGACACTGCCTGTGGAGGCCATGGCCATTTCCCTCCCCCAGGAATCACTCATTTACAGAGCTTCCCTCCATGCAGCACACAGGGTATACCAGTCATGGCAAAGGAAGGTCAGCAGTACGTGGAACCTCAGAACATCCAAGGTGTTCTTTTAGCTGCTCATTTGGGTGAGCCATGACAATCTAACAAAAATTAAGAGAGAATTAACACAAAGAATTAGAAAAATGCAAAGTATATTTGCATTGGATCCCGTTCAGACCTGTGTGGCCATGTCAGCAGGTAACATATGGGAAGCACATGCCCTTTGTAGACTTCAAATGAACGAAAGGGTCTGACAGTGGAGAGCAGTGCTGAGTTAGAGCACCTGGCAGAGCAAACACAGCTTCTCCTGATGTTGCATTTTGGCAAACAGTGGTGGGGAAAACTTTCCATTGAGCCTTTTGCAGGCAGAACCGTACACCAGGAGTGAAGTCAGTGCCCAAGCAATACCATAGCTGTAATCCCATCTCTGTAATAGCTGAATATGAACTTTTAAAGACCATATTAAGTGGGTAAAATTGTACTTTTGTCATGTACTTCCTTTTAAGAGTGCAGCCTGAGGCTACTAACTTGATGTATCATAGTTATTTCAAACACCTTAATGCAAGGCCGCTATGTACCTGCTGGGAATCTTAAGCATCCTTTTTGTGAATGTATTGTTCAGTGGTGCAAATCTTGACATTTGCAGGAAATAATTGGCAGGGCTGGAATCTGGAAAGTGTGATATTGTAATTGTCCCTCAGCAATGGTGCTTTACTCTGTCCTCTACTCGTGTGTGTTAAAGATCCTAGAAAGAACTCA